CTAGTCCAGTTCAACCAGACCCAACCTCTTCCGAATCTAGCCCGCCGCCTCCCACGACCAATCGCCGTGGTCGGGAGGTGCGTAAGCCCGTCCGTTTCTCCGACTATGGACAGTGTAAATATTTTTTAGTTTTGTAGATATTGTATATATTTGCCCCGTTTTTGGTCGATCAACGTTTTGAAAACAAACAAAAATATCAAAAACCTCCGAGAAACCTTTTTCGAAAAAATATAATTTATAAACCAAAAATATTTAAACACAGATCATTCGTTTGTTCTTTTTGGCGTTTTCTGCGCGTGTTTTTTCTACTTTCTCGTCTTTACATGCCCCAACCCTCCCATTCGATCGACTGGCCCACACGAGGAGTGTTTTCGAGGACACTGACGCGAACACTGGTCGCCTCTTCGCGAGACGAGGGTCATTTCTCCGCGGGACGAGGATCGCTTCTCCGCGAGACGAGGGTCGCTTTTCCGTGGGACCATGGTCGTTTCTACGTGGGACGAGGGTCGTTTTGGCGCGGGGCGGGGTGCGGTGGGGGAGAGAACACTCCCAAGCGCACCGTTTGGCAGCAGCGGAGGTTTAGGTCCTGTCGGTCTTTTTCTGGGCTAGCCAGTTTTTTGTAGTCCGACAAGCCCGCGCCAACGTCTCGCCGAAATGCACCCTGCCCTGCATTCAATAAATAACAAATCATAAACGGCGCAGCGGACTCAGACTTCCGGACGAACCCCCATTTCCACGAACGCACGCCCATTTTTACTCGGCAGGATTTCGCCTTACGAACCTCGTTTTAACATTCCTTTTTGATTTCGAAGGCTTTCTATGTTCAGCCTTCTAGGGGGGAGCTCTACAGCGACCAAAAAGATAACGCTTATCTTTCGTGTACAATTTACTTGTTGACTGACTGTACAATACTCCTCTTGTTTTAATCTTACAACCGGCTCGACACACAACTGCCTTGTAAGTCCCCGCGCTCACGTGTACGCTCTTGCCTCGCTGCATCCGTCCGTTTCTTGTTCTAGCCCATCGAGTACAGTCCGCTGTGTCCGACTTCCATTGCCTTCTGATATCCGCGTTTAATTCCGCGCATCGTCTCGGACTAGTATTAACTAGTCTTACAAGTTAATCATATGAGGGTAGACAAATAATGGGTATCAGAAGCCTCGGCAAATGACGCAGATAAGGTGGTTAACTGGACGTGTGATATTTAAATGTGAACTGGATTTCTCATCAGAAACTTACCATTTACTAACAATCTGTCATCATACATCTTGGTTGCAGCTATTCTTCGCAACAAATCAATTGCTTATGTGCGTGGATTTATTTTCCAATTAAATACTTATGTAAACACTACCGTACCATCATATTTGGACTAATCTAATTTTAGATCAATCTAGATGATTGGGCATTTCTAATTTAAATTGTAGCAATAACGTTTTTCTCTTTCGCACCTTATCTCCACAATAGCTGGCTTATCCTAACTTTTGTATAAGCGATATACAGCGGAAAATATAGCTACACTTATTCGCATGACTAATATATGAAATGAAACATGTAGCATCAACATCAGCATGTTATTCGCTAGTCAGTAACTTGCCGGGATTAATCAGCTTACACGTACGAGCCAACGTGTGGACACTTGCAACAAAAGTTGTTGGGTCTTGAACACGGAAGTTCTACACTGCATTCCAAAGCGAGGAATAGTTGTAGGGTACTTGAACTCCAATGATAATTGTTGATCACTACACCCAATTGTTCAATCCAATGTACAAACGAGTGTGGAATATTGTAAGCAGCAACTGCTTGGTACCCAGGAGTTAACGCGACCCATGTACGCTAGCGACGTCACCATTACCGCTGGCATGTAAGATGGGTATGCTTGAGGATAAGCGACCAATCGAATGGATTTATGAGTGTACCTTGGAATGTGTCACATACATAAGCGCGCATATGCACACATGCACACACACACACACACGTTGGGGCCTTTCAACTGGGCATTTAGAGGAGGGTCTATGTTTGTGCGGACATTGCACATGAGCCACACTCACATGGACGCTTGGTGACTATTCGAGATCATATTCAATACCACTAGGTCTGCGTGGATTGTGTGACCCTGGTGATTGAGAATGCAAAACACTGTCGTTCGAGAAGAACCAACGTGTTCCCATATACGCATACATATACGCAGATATATATCATTTAGTTTCCCTTCAATTACATATATACGTAAACGTATATTTCCGTATATATATATATATCTATATATATATGTATTTATATATATATAGAAGGGGTAATGTCAGAAGGCGTAGATTTAAAACTATGTCTGTGTATAATTATATGTATATATATATAATTATAGAGCTTTAAATGTAGGGCTTCTGCAATTACCGTTAAACATATACCATTAAATGTGAGCGCATACCTGCAAATGTTTCTTTGCATCGACCTAGGGAAGCACGTAAGGCAACGCAGACACTCAAATATATATATATATATATATATATATATATATATATACCTACTCATTTTACCCCTTCTACATGTACGCCGACAATTTAGCAAATACAAACGTATTCTTATTTGCATTAAGCTTGGGAAACACGTAAGCACACATAAACAACTTTAACAATTGTGATTATTCATCCTCACTGACCCAAACAACAAACACCATTCCGTGCATCCTCATTTCATAGTAACCAGTTATGAGCGCAGTATTACAGAAACAGATGTTAGTCAGTCATTATTCCTTATCACATTGCTGCACGTCTCTCCGTATGTCATTACACATGCACACAGTGATGCCTTTCTCATCATAGCTTTCTATTTCTTATTACTGCAGATTCTCAAAATTACATCTCATTGCACGTTATCTTCAAAGCATCATCAGTAAGTTACACACTTACTATTTACGCAACTTGGTTCTGTACCATTACGTAATATCATTAAATTGCCTCCAAATGTTCCATTTCATGTCGCCCATGTACATCATCGCTGCAATTAGCCTTCGGTGTAGATTTCGTAACCTTACAGTTGCTGCATTGTTAGCAGTCATTTCCGTTTATAATATACACACAGTTTCCGTATCTAAGTACCTAATATTTCCAACGATTTTCAACGCAGATATAATGTCACATTTATTAAACGTTATTTCAGCTCATTCCTAGCGGTTGATTTTCCGCCACCATCACGACCGTACTTCTTTTAACCACTGACTCAGTATAATGTTAATACATCATAAGTCATCTGGTACTATCAAACGATTCATCTTAATTTATTCTACATATCCTTAGTACTATGAACACAATTTCTTTCGGTCCACAAATAGATGTACCAGTAGCCACCAAAAAAATTCAAATTTCACCGCCGACCTCACTTCAGACGGTCCCGAGCAATTGCGAGTTGCAACCGAAACGAGCGCCAAGCAAAAATGGCAATGAGCAAGTAAAGCATTCAAACTCAGAAAGCAGTTCAGCAAACTCCACCGGTTGCCTAGGTGTACAATGAAAGAATTTTAGTTTAAACTTTGTACAGGCAAACCGGGGATCTTCAGGTTGCTACAGGTACAGTGTCAGAATCGCTCATATCAGAGTCACATTTCGGTAACGCTCTGAATGTTTCATTTTCTGCAGTAGTTGAAGTATCGCGTTCTGAGCCGGATTTGGGTGTAGTCACTTTAGGGGAGACACCCTGTCGTA